ATTCGTCTACTCAAACTGAATCAAAATATATCAATCAATGATTTTTTTTTTCATACACTTCTAGAATAATCATTAGAAATTTCTCAAATGATATTTTCTGAACATATGACCTCGAATTAGGCCAATCTTTTAAGGATAGACAAATAAATAAAAAAAATTAAGTTGATCATTCTACTATTCAACAATGTTTTGTTTTTATATTTACAAACGAAAGAAACTAATCATAATAAAGAACGAACTAGACATTCATACGTTGACGCCGTGTAAATTCAAGATTTTTTGCCTGATTCCAATAAGATTCTGTTAAAGCCTTTTCACCATACGATAATGTTTCTAATCTAAAAAATAAAGCAACAAAAATTAATTAATAAAAAAAAAAAATCATAGATTATATTTCTTTTTGTTATTACCTAGCAAGTACAAGTAAAGTATGAAAATCATCAAGATTTGTTAATACTTTTTGTTTACGCATATTAACAAAATCTTCTTGTATATATGTATTAATATCTGACGAAATATTATTTATTGTTTGATCAAATTCAAGTTGTTGTCCAACATATGTTAAATAACAACGTATATTATCAATTTGTTCTTTTGTTATATTTGGAAATGTAATTTGATTTACTTCTTGTTCACATTGATAACGTATATAAACATCACATGGTAATATAGATTTAGTTGATGAAATAATTAAACAACGTACATCACATTCATAATCAAGTTGATAAACATGAAATTCATATTTAAGTGTTTGTTGACGAAGAAGATCTTGAAGTAATTTTATATTATTAAGACCTACAAAAAGAAACAATATAATTTAAAAAATAAATAAAGTTGTCACCGCAATCTTTGTGGGATTAAAATGTGCAATACGATGTAGCTACTATTGATTATCTCAGAAAGATTGTTTTATTCTATCTATCTTGAAACACATATCTTCATCCTCCTTTGAATTAGTTCTTCAGAAATACAATAAGAAAGTAGTTAATATATTGTAAGCAGACCTTATATACTTCAACACTTCTTTTAGATCGTGTTTCATTAGATAATCGATTTGCTGTTTTGTTTCGTTTCTTACCAAGTGTTGTTAATTGTCCACATTCCATTTTAGTTTCATCAATAAGTAAATGTGAATTTAATGGTAATTGAAGTGGTGTTTGTGTTAATTGATTTTCATTATCATCATCTTTTGTTACATTTTTATTTGGCATTAATTGCATTGTATTTAATGTATTTATTGTTATTGATAAACGTGAATAAAGTGGTAATATTGTTTGAAGTAATTGTTCAAGTGCATTCAATTGTTCAGTTGATATATGTGAAAGATTTAATGATAATTTACCATATGCTAATGACGGTTGCCGAACATATATACGTGATATCAAATGTAATAATAAATATTCGCAAAGAAGTTTATCATTTGGAAAAACACATTCGAATAATGAAAGAATATATTGACGAGATGTTGAAACTAAAATATAAATTTGTTTTTGTTTTAATTAAATAAATTAAATTAATTAATTATACTTTGATTGAATTCAATATTTGGTATATGATATAATAATGGATTGATATGAGATAATTTTTTATATTGAATACAATGAATAGTTTTGATTTGTGGTACTTGATCTTGATCCATTTCAGTACTAAAAAAATAGAAAACAAATAACAGTTTTAGACCGGAAAACTGTAATTCGATATAAAGAAAATTAGTCACAGCATAGAATCGATCTCATGTTTGTCGAGGTCTTTTTTTACTGTTTATTAGAGATGTAAGCCGATTGGCAGAGCCACTGCCACTGTTACACAGAAAAATAAATGTTTGGTTTTTAAAAACTTCCGACGTCTCAAATCGATATTTGAACATGTTATCGTCTGCTTTTTTTTGTCAATAAGTTCTCCTCGATCGTTGAGCCATTGATAAATGCATCGGCTTACACTTCTATTTGTCACATACTTAAATTTTTATATATGTGATTTGTAAGTATTCAGCAGTTAAATTTGTTTCCTTGTTAAGGCCTTTCTTGAAACATATGTCGCATTGTAACTATGTTTTTTGTTTTCACTTAAACAGTTGCAATTTATTCTTTCACAGATTATTCATGCTAATTAGAAATAAACTCCAAACAATAAAATAGTCAAGAAATTCACTGTTCGTTATAAAACTAATTATTAATGATATCCTCTTTGAACAATACTTGGTGATTGACTTACACTGATTGAATACTATCAGCTTTGATAACAGAATGATCATAATAAATTCCAATAAATTCCACCATTGTATTGAGTAAGATTTCTTCAGTAGTATCGTAGACCTATAAAGAGAAAATTTCTCTAGAAAATATTTCGAATTCTTTGTTTTTGGTTTGTATAAATTACTTTAATCATATAATTAGATTTTGAAGTTGCTTTCACTGGTTCTTCTTTTACTGTTGCTTCATTATTATCATTACTTGTTTCCATAGATGTTGTTGTTTTCAACCGTTTAAGAGGTGACAATAATTGTTGAATATTATCTTGATCATTAATTGATCTAATCGATGAAATTTTTTTTTTACTGAATAAATAAAGATTAATCAAAAAATTTCTTACCTTTTTTGCATTGTAAATTGTTCACCAAAATGAAGTCGATAATTATCTTTAACCCATTGAGTTTCATTTGGAATAGAAATACATGAAAAACATTGACGTGAACGAAAACTTTCTGTGGGTGGTTCTTGTTCCATAATAGTGTATCCAGGCTATAGAGAAAAAGAAAACAAATTAAAATACATCAATACAGTACAAAAATAAGTTCAACTTACTGGACATACAAATAAATCCATATATTTAGCCGATTTCTCAATTTCAACTTGTTGATGATCATTCGATCGAACTTTATAATGAGCTAAAATTAACAAAAAACTGTGTCAATGCACCATCATTGAGACTAAAATGGGGAACAAAGTCCTGCATAATACAAACTTTTTCGTATGCTATATCCTATCCAACAACAGTTTTTTCGTGCCCTTGCTCTACTCTACCGTAAGATTTCCAGGTTTCGGCATATATCAACATGAAGCTTTCTTCATTAGGTTTCAACAGATTCTATTGATTTTCAACGATAACCAAATACAAAATTATCACATTTCAAAAATTTCGTAAGAATAAACTGTCATTGGCAATTTTGATATTCAATTCTGTTTTCTCTCTTCCAAAATTTTTCCGCTTACACTGAAAATATATTCACTTGTGGTTAAACGTGACGGAACTGCCAACACACTAAGGTATGGATAGTTTCCACTTGCCACATTAGTCCAATACTGGTTCTTCTTTACCAAAATATAAGTTCGCTTTAAGATAATGACCGACTTCTTCTAAATCAGAAAGATGTCAAGAGTGTCTTCAAAGTGGCTTTCCAAAAAAACCCTTAGCAATATGAGCAGCACTCGAATTTTACCCGAAACATTTTTTTTTGTATCGTACTTACCTTACCTTGTAGGATCCTGATGAGGAACTCATATGTGTTCTTTAGCCTAATTATACTTAAAGTAAAAAATATCTACAAGGCTAGTTGTTTTCCGAGTGTCATTGATTGTAAGGGAAATGATCTGTCTTATTCATTTCTGCTTTTTTGCAGCGGTGTTCTATTTTTAGTTTGACTTATCGCTATTCACTCGTTGCTTGTCATTTTTACTATTTTGCAGTCTCGTGAAAAACCGTGACAGAAAGAAAATTTTATCGATTTTAGCTCTACTGCTGACAAATATTCACATGAAGATACTTTTTGTTAGGCAAAGTACCACAGAAAGTTGATGGTTTCAAGACCTTTTGGTTGATTTCTGCGCGAAAGACGAACGAAGACACTGTCGACCTAATTATTAACCTCTTTCACTCTCAAAAACGATCGGGAACTCTGTTTACAAATGTATTCCAGTCATTGAAATTTCGAAGGCGTTTAAAATGTTCTACAATAGTCTAAGTCTTGTTATTAATGTCACTCAATGTCTTTTTCCCATTGTTCAGGAACTTGGAGAAAGGAGCCTGATGCCTGTTGTTCTTGTTTGCTATGGAAACGTACTTAATGTTTGGATGTGCACTTAAATTCAACAACAGAATTTGAATATTTCGAATTTATCTCATCCATTAACAACTATATTAATAAACTGTCGCACTTTATCTTTGACAATTAAATGGAGAATAATGTAATTAACCGTTTAATTTAGTAACAGATTAAAAGAAAACTTAAAAACAGTTTGTTGATTTACTTTAGTACTTCGTCTAATAATGCTGTGAAAATTCCTCTTTAAACATTCTCCACTATCGTGTCTCTATTTCAATTTTCTACTGATGGAAAAATTTCTTGTGACGTGATTCAGTAGATAAAGGTAATTTTCTTTCCTTAGCCAAACAAAATGCAAACGGTTTGGGTACATGTCTACTAAAAACCATTGACCTTGCTTCTAACGTTGCTAGAGAAACAAATCCAATGACTTTTGGTTTCCTTCTCTCCATTGCTATGAAGAAGGTAAAAGTACAGCGGAAAAATTTCGACTTAAATTATATTTTCGAAACTTACTACAATAAATTTCATCATCAGCCATATCTTGTACCATAGCTCGATAACGTACGAGACAACCAGATGGTAATGAGCATTCATCATTACGATCATTCAATGATGGAATTTCATTATATAAATCAGGATTATTAATATGTGTTTGAAAATAATTTCGTACGTCATTATCAAATGTAATTGGTGATTTTTCTGAATAAAATAAAATCGGAATATTTTTATAAATAAAATTCAAAAAAAGAATTTTACCATGCAACCGATTGATAATTGTCATCGGATGCGTTATCCAATCTTCGATAAAAGGCATTATCTATAAAAACTGATAGATGCAGAAAAAGAAAGGAAAGGAAACTTTTTAGTTTAAAGTTCTTGTTTAAGAAACTGAAAAAAAAACAAATTTTTCTTTTAACAATAAATGTTTATTAGTCTAGTCTTTTCTTCATGTTGTTTAATCTTTACGTAATGGATGAATATCAGTTTCAATGCCTTTTTCCTTTGTTAATGTATGAATAACAACACCATCGCCAAGTTCAACATTACGTTCACATGCAGCCATATAAATATCTTTTATCATTCTAACAGTTTCTTCTTTTGTTCGTTTTACTTGGCCTGGTTTTGATGTATTTTTACCAAGAATCTAAAAATTATAAATTACAAACACTAAAACGAAATTCCTAAAATAACTTACGTGTGCATCAAGAATTGGTAAAATAAGTGGCATAGCACTACCTTCACATGCATAAAGTTGTTTTGTCATTGAACCAACAGGATCAAATGCATAAATACAACCTTGACCATCAGTATCCAAACCTGTTATAACCGTATTTGTATAATAAGGAAAAAATCGACGACCATACATCATAATAGAAATCATTTGAGCCAAAGCAGGAGTTGATATTGGTTTATTATGAGTATATTCATATGTCTAAAAACGTTCATATTTTTTTTTAATTGCAAAATTTATCTGAACTTATTCTTTACTACAAACTAACCTTAATACGACCTTCAAGTGTTTTCTTGAGTGTAAGTACATCACCAAGAAAACCTGTTGATAAAAGTAATGAATTGTTGTGCCTAAAACAAAAAACTATTAGCTCAATCTCTATACGATTAAAATGTAAAATACAATCTAGTTGCTTTTGCTAATCATAGAGGCATTATTGATAATTGGTTATTAGACGAGACTACTAGTTTGGACTATACTGTAGAAAAAAAATTTTTTTTTTCTTAGAAGTTAAACGTACAAATTAAAACAGATTTTTTTATCGTTGTATAGAGCTTATTTTAGTCTCAGAAAATGTACTTGATTTGTCCATCGAACAGATTAATTTTGTCAGATATCAATTTTCTCTGGTGACATTACGATTTTCATGCTAATCTTTGGACAACTATTTTTCAGTATCTTGGATGGTCTTAATAAAATTATTTATACACTTAGATAGACTATATTTCGAAGTATATGTTCAAATCTTGAAAAAGTGAAATTTTCATTTTTAGTTAAATGTTCACTCAGACGCACACTGTACGAGAGGAATATCGAAACGTCAACATTCCTTTTAGATCGTGTTTCATAAAAATAAATCTTTAAAAAATATGTTTTAATATTTAAATGCATACATTTTATACACATTACTATGTGTACGAGATTGTATTGAATAATTTTCTGTTAAACGTGTGTCACTTGCAACAACAACATAATCGTCACCGGCAACAGCAACTGTTGTACTATAAAAAAAAAACTATCGAATCAAGATTTTATGAAAAAATAAAAATTTACCCAGATTGAAATTCATATGGATACCAACCGTGTTCTTTAACCATTTTATATTTTTTCTAATTAATGTCGAAAAAGAATATTTATCTTTAAAAAAAAGCAAGAAAGAGAAGCAATTTTGTTTGAAATAATCGAGAAATTATAGAAATATTAAAAGATAATAGATGATTTTAAAAACGGAAACATATGATTACGAAAAAAAACTGTTCTTTATAATTTACAGAGAACTGGTACGTCAATTTTATCGTATGCTTGAGCTAGTGGATAACATGATAATTTACTTTTCCACATATGTATGTTATCAATCCATTCCACCTATTAGAAATAGAGAAAAATAAATTTTCTGTTTCTTTTTTTTACTGTAATTTTACTTTTGGTAAATTAAGTTCTTTTTTGGGTAAACTTTGCTCCGGTTCGGTTGATTTTTTTTCAACTAAATTATCAATGATAATAGGTAGTTCAATTAATTTTATCGCTTCATGATTGAGATCTACTGGTACAGTAACCTCTGTTTGAGTGCGTTCTTCATCAGCATTTGAAAGTAACTCAACATCATTCATAGCATCTAATTCATCTTCATTTTCGTTAGTATTTGTTTCATCATTTGCTTGTTGAAGTGCTAATGGTGATGGATTAACATGAAGTGCTAGTTTACGTCGATAAATTGAATGTGGTGATATATAATGATCGTAAAAACGGAGCAAATCATTACGTTCTAATGTTTTTATTATTTCAACTTCAAGTTGAGCTAAAACAAAAGAAAAAGTAATACTTTTATATATGAATATTTTTATGTTTGACTGGTTTTTTTTTCTCATTCTTACGTCGATCAAAACAAAATTGATGATTTGTTATTTCATTCCAAAATTTATTTCCTTGACTGTGCATCTTTTTTGGTACTTCTACTTTTTTAACCATATAACCTTCACGTTGTTTTTTAAATAATTCGTCAGGCATTGTTGATATGTATTCCTATTAAAATACACAAATTATTCGACATCAACACGATTGTGTCGCGAATTGAAAAACTTATAAATATGAAATAGTTATCAGTAAGATTAAGTTCTCACAGCTTCAAGAGAATTTTTCTAAAACAACATAGTTTAGTACTTTTTCGTTCTGGTCTTGATCATCGAGACCAAGACTAATGTTTGAAGACTGGGACTATGAGAAAGAAAATTTATTCGAATTGAAACTAAAGATTATCGTTCAATATTGGATGGTGTTAAGCGATTAAATTTCGGAATAATTGTCTCTCAACCCAAACTCGGTTCCGCACATCCCTAATCGCACTACATTATAATTAACGTCTTCTTATCACATAAAATCTGTTCATACCTATGAGAGAACTCCTCAAACTGAAAAATCGCTTGTAAGTTAAGAGTACATGTATTTCGTAGAACCAAATAAGCTATGAATACTCTGAAAGAAGTTTGTATCTTTACCTAATTACTGCGGATATGATAAACTTTTATAGTAGGTTTTAAATGAATAGCGTTGTAACAGAAATACTAATTTTCGAATTTTCACTTGAAAGCTTGCATAGAGACAGGCCTTAAGGAGCATAGTTTTTTGTGAATATTACAGATCTTGTCACTGTTTCTATCCTAAGATACAAACACCATAATAGCGTGTGTTTTACATCATCCATATAAACAAGCAGATTTGATATTTCTATTTTTACAATAGAAGCAAATCAGAAGATCTGAAACTTCTCTCATTAGGGACTGAGTTAATGCAAAATTTCAAGTCGACATATGAAAATCAGTTTTTTTGTTACTACAGCATTTATTTTAAAAAACACCGTAAAATTACAGTATCTCAACAGCAATAAGTTAACGGCACAAGTTTTTTTTGACAATATTTACAATTCATTTGGATCTACATAATGCACATATTCTTAATTTATGAGTTGGAGGACTTACTTCATTAGATATGGCCATGCTGGTCCTGCTCATATCTATTCATACCACATAGTTATATATAAACAAGACATGATGTAAATATCTTTCCTTTTCCAACATAATCAACTTTAATATATTTTGTTTTCAAATGTTTCATACATCACATTTCGAATATCTTTAATTTCTTATTGAGCAAATAAATCAAAAATGGAATTTTTCTATATTATATACTGATTTTTCGTCTCTGAGATTGAAACAATATTCTTTTGAATTTCGTTGTTATTTTTTTTTTTTTACTTTTCATACATACTTTTATTGAATCAATAAATAATTCAATACGTTGATTAATATAATCAGGTTCTCGAGCAGATTGAACAATAACTCGAAAACCTTGTACACCACGTGAACGACGTGTACCTGCACTAACAACATAACCTAATTGTTCTTTCGTTCGTAATTGATCAAAACAAGGTTCATCAACAAGATGACAAAATAATTCAAGTAAAGCATTATTTTCAAATGTTTGTTGAAAACATTGTAAATAGACTTCAATGGCATGTAATTTATGTGCATCATTTAGCATTGTATATGCATAATTACAACCTTGACAAAAAGAAAAAAAAATTAAGAAAATGTTTATTTAGAATTTACAAGAAAAAAAAAATAGTAAGACTAACCATCAGGTAATATTAATTCACGTTGATTGAACCACATACCAGGAAAAAGTGGTTGATAAAAACGTTTTTCTTGAAATTTTTGTTCAACTGAAGTCATATATTCTATAGCTTGCTATTAATATAAAATTATATTAAAATCAAACAAAAAATAAATTCATTCTTCTTACATTTTTTGTTAAATTTCCATACATTAATGAATCAGTATAGAAACGAGTTAACATTTGTGGAATAAATGATTCTAAATCATTCATCGTAATACCTTTAACAAGAAAAAACAAAGTTTCTTAATCTAATATCCTCTGTTTTTGAAAATTTACCATCAATACAACTAAGTAATTCATCTTTATTCCATTGATGTTCAGCTGTTAAATAAGTTACTCCAAAATGTGCCATTTGATAAGGAACATCACGACGAAAATTTTGTAGTGCTCGTTTAACCTGTAGAATATATTTCAAGAATTTTAATTCATTCAAATTCAATTACTTTTTCTTTAATGTTTCCAAATCGTTGTGAATCTAATTTGGGATGAACCATACGATCAATAATTGTATCAAGTAGTTCTTTTATTTTATGATTATAACCATATAGAGTTAACTAAAACAAAATATTATATTTTCTCATTGGAAACCATTTATGAAAGAGGTCCAGATAAACGTGGGATGTGGTGTATCAAAGCTGTACAGAGAGTAATTAAACATTTCTCAATGTCCAAACATTCGCTATGAATATTTTTGTTGTCTTCACAGAATTTTCGGGCGAAATATTGAAAAGCATTTTCTAACAGAAAAGGAACTAAATTAAAATGTTGTTGAAGATTATTATACTACATGGGCAAATAGTTATTTTCTCGGACAGTAAAATATGAACATTGTTTGATTTTCTGTCCATTAAAGTCGATTGTATGTAAAACGACAAAAACTTTGCAATCGGTTACAGTTTCCTTTATTGTTTAGGAAATGTGTGTTTTTATTTTTATTTTTGATATATTAAATTAAAATGTGGATGTGAAGAGGATAGCACTCACACCCTTCCACGAATACGTTTGAATCCAAATAGTAAACCTGTTATAAAATATAGAGACTATATTAATGTTCGCTCGAGTGGGGTTACGAAAACATTTTTTGATTTCGGAGTAGAATTACAGTCTGAATATTTTGCAGATACAAGAGGCATTTTGAATGTTTCTCTTTTCACTTAAAAGTTCTGCAAGAGAGTTTGAAAAAGCTTACTAGAACAAGAAGTCATATATTGCATGATCTTTTCTTTATTGGCATAGGATAATGATGGAGAGCGAGTGCACTGTCTATTCAATGATGATATCAAAATCGTAGATTGTGTATGTAAGAAAAAGACAAACAAGAAAAAACCTATCACATAATTGTGTTGTTCGAACTGCGGAATATTGGCGCAATATCAAAGACCTATCCTCCGTTTTCGACTGCGACATGATAGGAAGAAAAAAGAATTAATAAATTAATCTCTTCAAGAGAAAGACACAAGTACATGATACCAAAGTTCGATTTGGGCTTGGTCGAATCACAAAAATTGGAGCCAAGTTGTACCCTGGACTATATTGCCTCTATTAGTTTTTTCTTTTTAGGTAGAAATTAAGACAGATGAAATCTTCTCTTGGTAGCATCTCTTTTTGATCAGGTAACAGACTTGATAATAAATTCATTAATTACAATAAGACCTTAGGTATATAACGGATAACACTTCAGTTAGATTCGTTCTCCATTATAAATTCATTTGGCGAAAATGAAAATCACCGTATTTCCCAGGTGACGGTGACAGTGACTATTTGTTCCACCGCAATGTCATACTCATACAATCGCACTCGACCTTATCATCACTGTTATTCTCAGTACCAATTTGAGTACGTTGACACTTCTTGAGAGAGCAGTTCGATGAAACTGGATGGAAGGGGGTGAGGAAAATCGTGACTTTTACCGGAACGTCCTCTATGGATAGTCCTATTCAGAATTAATATTAAATTACCTGAATACCATAATTAATAGCAGTTAATTCATATTGCAATCCTCCAAGTTGTGCTGGATAAGCAACTTCAGTTAATGAATCTTCAATTAATTCAACATATAATGTATTCAGATTAAAATGTATTGGATCAACATTTCCCAATGGACTAAATTTTATAATAACGAAAAAAAAAAATGAAATATCATAGGAATATAAATTTGAATCCTACTTGCGAAATTCAAAATAAAGATAAGTTTTAGGTAATTTGTAAAATGAGTCATCAGCATAATACAGACGATAAAGTTCATTTTCCTTAAAAAATGAGAAACAATTTGAAATTTTAAAAATTTGAACAAAATAAATTTATTTTTTTTTTACTTTAATTTTTATTGGTAATTGTGGTCTTATCGAGCTTTTTTCTTTTGAAAATAAGTGAAAATCTGTTGGAATGAATTCGTTTGGTTTTGGTAAATGAAGTTCAGGAATAA